TTTGGTTAATTCCAAAATTGGGGGTATTTCCTGTGGGGACCAGCACTTGAGCTCTGTGGTGGCACTAAATTACTGCTTTGCTGCTGATTCTCTGGGGAAGCGTTTCTGTTCTGATGATTTTTTTTTTTTTTTTGACCGGTAAGGGGATCACAACCCTCCGCATGGTGTGGTCCGCACCATGCCCAGCCAGTGAGTGTACTGGCCATCCCTACATAGGATCCAAACCCTCGGCCTCTGCATTCATAGCGCCGCACTCTCCTGAGTGAGCCACGGGGCCAGCCCTATTCTGATGAATTTTAATTATTGACCTTTTAATCACTTCCAGGTCTTGTGAAGTTAGGTACACCTGGGCTGTGTGGAAATTTTGGCTCAGGACTGAGTCTTTCCAACTAACTGTGCCCCTGCAGTTCTATCAATCTGACCAGCTGCCCACTCTGCACCCCAATGTTCTCCCAAAGGCCAGCCTCCCTCCCACACAGCAGATGCTTTCCCTGGGGTGGGCTCACACAGGTCGTTCACAATGACTCACCAGCCTCTGGGTGGTTCCTTGGGTTGGCTGTGGCCCCTTTCTTCTATGTGGATCCACAGGATCCCTGTCAGTGGTTTCCCTGGCCTGGGATCTGGTATAGTGCACTCCGAGGCCCTCTTGTCCCTTGCAGACTCCAGGCAACTTCACGCAAAAGGATCAGCTGCGGCTTTTGCTGGCTCCTGCTCTGTTTGCTGTAGCTTCTTCCTGCCTCTCACAGGGCTGGCTCTAACACGGCCAGGGCTTGAAATGGTTGCAGTGGTTTCTTCTTCCTCTCTCCGCAGCTTACCATATCCTATGAGCCCGTGGCCAGTGCACCCTATTTCACACTGTCTAGAAGACTCTTCTGCTGCGATCCCAGAGCTCCAGTGCACAGCACTTGGATTTCTGCCCAGATGTCGCCTCATCAGAGAGCTGCCCTGATCACCCTATCCAAAACAGCGCCTGTGCCTGTCTTTCTCCTAATACTCTGTCCCTCACCTGCTTTCGTTTTGTTAAGAACACCGGTCACCACCGGCAGTTATGTAGTTAAGTGTTTACTGAATAATGTTCACTCCTGAGACCCTAGGTGAGTGGAACCTGGGAACCTGATTCTTACACAACTTTCAGCCATTCCCTGTTTTCAGCTCACACCTCATTCCTGCCATTCAGGATACCTAGTCCCAACACTTTTGGGGGTTTCTGTGGGGCAGATGGTTTGCTGTTCACTGTTAGGCCTCTCTACTTATCTCTGGGCTAGTTTCTGCTCTGTGGAGTCAGTTTCCACTCTCTTGGCTTTCTGTTTCTGGTCACCTCTGCAGGAAAGCTTTCCCAGCTGAGGTTGAAGGAGACCACACCCTGCTTTCTTGTTTCTGTTCTCGCGCAGAGGTGACCAGAGGATGGTGCCGCTGGGGAGCCCCAGAGGCTCAAGTTCTGGGGCCAGTTGGCCAGGGTTTGAATCGCAGCTCTGGCATCTGTTAGTGGTGTGGTCTCAGGCAAGTCACTTAACACTTCCGAACCTGTTTTCTAAAGAAAAGAGAATCTACCAGGAATTAGAATTATAATCTATGTGATACACACACAAACTCTTCCTCTAGGAGCAGTGGTAAGTATTCGCTATTTCAGTGTCCATTAACTACCACAAACAATGGGAATTAATATACCTTGCTCTTGTGCCATCAAATCTCAGTCCTTTTGTTACTAAGATCAGCATCCCTTTCCCCTTTTCCCTTGGGACGACATTGTCTTCAGCCTGTGCTTGTTTTTCTGGTCTTCACTTCTCTTTTCCGTTTTGAGATTTTCCTTCTTTTCCTGAGATCTTTTGAAATATATTTGCTACATTTTATCTATCATTTCTAGGTGATTTTTAAGTTGAGTATTTTTAGGTTCTTTGCTGTATTACTAGAAAGGGGAATTTTATTTAATTCTATTTTTGTCCTATGCAGTCATGTCCATCTTCTTCATGTTTCATTCCAAAGACAAACGTGTAAATCCAAATTCATGTAAAAGAGAAGTAACTTACTATTCTCTTACATCAACAGGCACATCTAAGTACCTATGGTTAGAATAGAATGTATCATCTCTTAGGGCCGGCCCGTGGCTCACTTGGGAGAGTGCGGAGCTGATAACACCAAGGCCACGGGTTCGGATCCTATATAGGGATGGCCGGTTCGCTCACTGGCTGAGCGTGGTGCTGACAACACCAAACCAAGGGTTAAGATCCCTTTACTGGTCATCTTTAAAAAAAAAAAAAAAAAGAAAGAAAGAAAAAGAATGTATCATCTCTTAACAAGTTTGAAATAGCTCCTTTTCTCTGCAGGATTAGGACAGGTAGCTGTGTCTGTGGTGGGCACCAGATGAAGTGATTTGTTTGTGATTCGGGGCCATGCCAAATCAAAGTGGCTCTGCTTTTACGTATTGGCCATAAGATCTGTGATTGTCTCGTTTTGAGCAAAGCATTTATTGTTTTCTCTGACTCTAATGTTCTGGATGTTGTCACCTTGTCCCCCAAGGATTGTCTCAGTTTACTAGGAAGAAGCTAGAGAGGAGAGGTGACCTGTGTGTGCACGTGGAAGACTTCATGGCATAAATATTACACCTTTGTAGATGTTTTGATTTGTGAAGTTCTGTATTGTGGAAAAACCAGCCAGCATAGAAGAAAAATAGCTGTTACACTGCATAATGGCTAAGTATTGACAAGCCAGAGTGGGTCCTGAGCTGGGTAGAGCTGCGTAGGCTGTAGTGAGACCTTCATGCAAACCTGGATGTATCAGAAATGCCTGTTTCTCCTGAGTTAAACTGGTATAAAAATGCAATTATCTTTCATTGATTCTGTAATTATCAGATTTCATTTACATAGCATCTACCTGATATACTTTTTTCATTCCTTTCTCTTCTAACCTGTGTTTTTTCTTTGGTTTATCTCCTTTCAAACTTTCTTAGTTATATTTTGGGTGTGTCTCTTCTAAACAACATATAACTGTGTTTGTTTTTCCAATGTAGTTTTTTCGTTTTTTGTTGGTTTATTTTCTGCTTCATACTAACTGTAATTAATGATCACAATATTTGGAATTATTGCAGCTGTCATGTTTTGTGTTTTATGTTTTCCATGCTGTTCTGTTTTTCTCATTTCCTTTGATTGGTTAGATTGAACATGTTCTTTCTTGGTATGTTTTTTCCCTTTACTATTTTGGATTTTGTACATTTATTTCCCTCTCTCCCTACATTTTTTAGTGGTTACCTTTAAGTTGTTCGCAGACACGTTGAACATTTGTCTTTAAACGAAGAGTCTAAAGTTAGTATCTTCTCTTTTCCCAAATTAAACAAGGTTCTTCATCTACTTATTTTCTGTCATTCTCATCTATTTGCACCACACCCATACCTAAATAGGAGCTGATTGTAATTTTAGTTCTAGGGTATGAGGAAAAACATTAAAAATGTGTTTGAATCAGTATTTGGAGTTATTGATGTGTTTTTCTGAGTTCAGTACTCATCACCATGTCCAGCTTTCCACTCATTACGTTTTTTTTTTTTTCCCCTCAATGTGTGTTTCCAGAGGATGTAAATTTTCTAAGTGCTGGTATATGTTAAAATTTTATTTTTTCCATATTTTATTTTTATTTTCTCTTATTATTACTTTTATTTTCCCTTATTCTTGCCTTTTGGTTTGGCTGGTATAAGATTTCAGAATCAAATTATTTTTTCTTAGCTCTCTATTGCTCTCTTATTTTCAGGAAGTGTTCTGATCTTTCCCTGTAATTGGTTGTCATATATTCTTTTTATACTTTATTTTCAGAAGTTTCATTACCATCTGCTTGAATTTGGTCTTGCCATCTTCTTTATTTCTGAAATATTTTCAGTTCTTTGAATTTACCAGGTTCCACCATGTGTTCTGTGTGATGCTTCCTCTTTGTACAGAGACTACAGGTTATCTCCCAATATACTTTTTTCTTTCTTACATAATAGACTTAACAGTTTAGGGCCGGCCCATGGCTCACTTGAGAGAGTGAAGTGTTGATAACACCAAGGCCACGGGTTTGGATCCCTATATAACGGATGGCTGGTTCGCTCACTTGGGAGAGTGTGGTGCTGACAACACCAAGTCAAGGGTTAAGATCCCCTTACCAGTCATCTTTCAAAAAAACAAAAAAACCAGTTTTTCAGCTGGGCACATTCAGAAACAATACACTTTTGAATTTCCCTGCTGCTCCTTCCCAGCCCCCCTCTTTGCTGCTCCTTAGGATGCAGATATGATGACTGGAGTTATCTTAGAGTTACCGTGAGAGTGGAGGAAGAGGTGGGCATGACGGAGTCCCTGGACCTGCCCTGAACCAATTGCCTTTAGACTGCTGTGAGTAGAAGAAAGATACATTCTCTTGATTAACACACTGTCACTCTTTTTTCCTATTGTTCACAGTTGAATCTTGTTCTCATCACTTCCTGAATTGCCCTTTATATCCCATCTTCTTGGAGAACACATCATGAATCTTCTAAGACTGCTCAAGTGGCTTTCAGTAGAACTAAATCTGGCACCCTTATTTAGAATTGTCCTCTCCATTTCTGTGCATAATATTCCCTGGATATGTTTTTATCAAAGATTCAGAGCACGTTATTTCATTTGCATGTATAAATGTTTGTTTCCCTCTACAAGATTGAAAGCTTCTTAAGGGAAGACTTGAATTTTATTCATCCTGAAATCTACAAAACCCAAAGGAATATCTGGCACATAGAAGTTCAGTGATTGATTGATTTTTTTTGTTGTTGTTTTGTTTTGTTTTTGGTACAGGGATCCTACCCTGGACCTTGGTGTTATCAATGCCGTGCTCTAACCAACTGAGCTAACCAGTCAGCCCTTGATTTTTTAGTTCTCTCACAAAGTAAATGCTGAACCAGAACAGTCTGTGGAGGAATAGCTCTCTTTTCCCAGTTCCTCTACATCTTTCCAATGTCACCTAATGTAATTGCAGCCAATTGAATGGGGTGTGTATTGTTACAGGGATTATTGTCATTCAAGGATGTGTCTATGGAGTTCACCTGGGAAGAATGGCAGCTACTGGATTCTACGCAGAAGTACCTATACAGGGATGTGATCTTGGAAAACTATAACAACTTGGTATCAGTGGGTAAGTATAGCTTCTCTATTTAACTCAGATTGTGAGTTGTAAATTTTCATCTTTTTCTTTTGTTGATCTGCCCGGGACCTCTGAGGTGCATAATGATTATGAACTCAAACTTTAGTGGTCACATGTTCTTAGCCCTATTTGGCCTTCACCTCCTAAGTGTAATCTCTCCCCAAGTACAAATGAACAGTTTCATTTTGTACTTCCAGATCCCTTAGTCTCATCTGTAGCAGTTTGGCCTACATCCTTTGTGATTTTCTATTAACAGGGTATCATGGTACCAAACCTGATTTAATCTTTAAGTTGGAGCAAGGAGAAGAGCCCTGGATAATAAATGCCAAAATTTCCAGTCACAGCTGTCCAGGTGGGTGAGTGAGAACCAGGAAGATGGTGGAGTGGGGGGAACCTGTTCTCTGAGGGGTTGGCATTGCCACTGTGTTGTGTATAGAAACTCTTCTGACAGTCCTGAGCCACTGGAGCTGACCCAGGATGGAACCACAAGCTCCTCAGTTAAGGAAATCTCTGTCACTTCACACATTTGGGCTTTCCTTCCTCCCATAGGTTTGAGAGGTAGGCGTGCCCCTCTTCTCTGAATCTGCTCGAAGTTTGCTCTCTGGGTTAGTTCCCTTCCTTCCTGTGGTCATGGACTTTACTAGGCATTGAGGCCTTCAGAGAATTTCTTTTTCCTCTCACTTGGTATGTGACTCATGTACTTCCCTTACTTTTATTTTCTCTTTTATTTTCCACATTTAATTTTCTCAGACTTTACCCACAGTCTTACACCTGGTCTTGCCTGTATCCTTGAGTGATTTTACACACCTCGTGCTTCCCTTTAGATTTGTCCAAAGGGGTTTATTTCCCCAATTTGTCTGTCCTCTCCTGTGTTGTAAGTATTGAAAGGCTCTTCCATTCTAAATATTTAAGCTTTTTTTCCACCAATGTTATAACATCAAAATTGACATCCTCTTCCTCTTTTTTCTTTTGCACTTGAACCTTGGGTTAAAACCTGAAGGTAGGGCCGGCCCGGTGGCGCACTGGAGAGTGCGCCGCTTGGGAGTGCGGCGGCACTCCCGCCGAGGGTTCGGATCCCATGTGGAGACCGGTTCCCGCTCACTGGCTGAGCGCGGTGCGGGTGCAACACCTAGGGTTGCGGTCCCGTTGCCGGTCAGTAAAAAAGACAAAAAGGAAAAAAAAAAAAACCTGAAGGTATATGCTTTCAGGTAAACTCCCCTGTGCTCTCCCAGACTTCATTCTCAGTATCAGAAATGGTAGCATTCTTCTTTTGTTTCCCTATTTTTGTTACTCTTGTTACACTTCTCATCCTGCATCTTGGTCTCTGTGGACCCACCTTGAATATCCTGTCTCCTCTCTCCTTTGTTAATCTCACTTCTGTTTCTGTATTTTATTCTCGAAAAGTGTATTATAGTGCTTGTCTCCTCAGTTGTCCCGCAGACTGGATCAGTGTTACCTCTTACCTGGACAGCTTGAATTCTCAGTCATATTTGAGAACGTTCATCTTCTTCTTAGCTGCAGCTACTAGGTTTGTTTTCATAAGCATCCTATCACTAGTCTGAGAAAATAAACATATATCTTAAATCCCTGATTCAACCAGAGTAAGACAATAAGATATTCATAATCTCAAATGACAAATTGTCTGCCATAGGCAGCTCCACAGTGGCTTAATTCAGAAGCTTTGTGATGTCAGGAATCAAGCTTTCATCTGTCCTCCCTTTTGTCATCCTCAGATGTTACACTTTTCTTTCATGAACCCTCTTTAGCATAGTCTGGAAGCTTCCTCAGTGCCAGACATCACAGGCAGACATGGCAGGAACCACTGGAACAAGTACTGTTTCTTTCTGAAAAATCTGTTTAATCAGTGCCCAGTCTTTCACAGAGGCCTGCCCGCATGTTTTCTTAAAATTCACACGTCAATCCCTATGCCAGTCATGGTGTGAGGTGGGGCAGGCTCTGGGAGTGGTGCCCTGCCCATTGACCAGACCACGTGGATAAGAGAAGGGTGGATGTCCTCACGCAGCCAGGGCTACCACATGGAAGGCGGGATCATGGCCTTGTGGTAGGCAAAGAACAGTGTGTTATAGGCCCACCTTTGGATATTTAACATAATTTACCCTCTGTCCATTTGCACATCTCCAAAAAGTTCATGTTAACATGAAATATAATCATCCTTTCTAGAAAGGGAGGCAATACATGTTCTCATCCCGGACCAGAATCCAGGTTCAAGTCCAGGATCCCTTGGGATGTGTGCGGTACTGTCAGGCAGGTGTGGATGAAGTCCTCATGATCCGAATTGGCTCATAGTCAAAAGATAAGTTGTCTATTCCAAACATACATAGTGGAAGAGAAGGAACCAGGAAATTATATGAGAAACTCCTCTTTCCAGAAGGGAAAGATAGAAGACAACAGTCATTGCTGGTCCACTGGACACTTCATCTCACTTAGAGATTAGGGAAGGCTGTTTTGCCCTGGCATTGGTGTGGTTTCAAGGCCCCTGGCACTTCCTTCGAGAGGATCTTTCTTTCTGTTGTCCTTTGTGACCACAGCTAACATAAACTTTTGAGAGAATGCCCATTCTGTGGGCTATTGTTATAGTTTCAGTGGCAGCTGTCATACTCATCATTGTGGTGCTGTTTTGGCCTTGCAGATGGATTCTTGCCTTATCTGCGTCACAGTCTCCTCCAGGGCTGTTTTCTGTCTTTTTTATTTGTGCTTGTTCCCTAGGTGGTCTCATCCGTCATATCATTTAACACCTTCCATATGCTGTTGACTCCCAGCTTTCACTGAGCCCTGAATGCAGGTCTGACTGCCTATTTGCTATCTCCATTTGGTTGTTTAACTGAGATCTCAAATGTAATCACATCCAAAGTACCATCCTTCGTTTTCCTTCAGACATGTCTTTACCTGTGTTTGCCATCTCTAGAGAGAAGCACCACCTTGCTGTTCAAGCTATTCATTCATCTCCTCTCCCAGTGCTTATATCTAGTCCTTCAGTATATTTTCTTAGTTCTCTCTCCAAATACGTTCCAAATTTTCTCATCTCCAGAAGTGTAGTCAAAACCATTATCATTTCATCCTTAGGTGGTTAGAGCATGGTACTGACATCCTAGACTGCCGAATGGCTTTCTGATTTGCCTCTCTGCCCTTATTCGTGTTTTACATAACAGCCAAAGTGATCTTTTAAAAGCAGAAGACTAATCAGAATCTCCTGTAATTCTAAACCTTAAGGTAAAATGAAAACTTTTTGCTTTGGCCTTACATAATTTGGTCCCTGCTTTCCCTGTATTCACTCAGTGGGTTTTAGCTATACTGGCTTTTTCTATTTCTTAAACTGTGCCAAGCAGCTTCCTTTCTCAGAAACTTTGTACTTGGTATTCTTTCTGTTTAGAGTGTTAATTTCTTATGGATCATTCATTCTCATCTTCAGTGTCTCATTGTCACCCTACCTAAATGTCATACTTTAGTTATTCTGTATCCTGTGAATTCACTTTTTAGTTAAGTAAAACCTTGAGTAATAAAATTAAAATGTAAAATAATTGGCTATTGGCTCCTCAGCACAGGCTAAATTTTTTAAACCTCTAGTTTAAAAATTGTGTTTGATCACTGCTGTTTTGCTACCAATTTCCATGAGGGACTTTTTAGTTAAGTAAAACCTTGAGTAATAAAATTAAAATGTAAAATAATTGGCTATTGGCTTCTCAGCACAGGCTAAATTTTTTAAACCTCTAGTTTAAAAATTGTGTTTGATCACTGCTGTTTTGCTACCAATTTCCATGAGGGGGGAGGACCTGTTTTAGTTTGGTTTGATTCAGTTCTCTTGCCCCCATGCAATATTCCTTTTGAACCAGTGTTATAGGCCTGTTACCAAAAAAAAAAAAAAAAAAAAAAAGATTCATTGCATAGCAACTCCAAAGCTCTTTAATTCCATATCAGTTTCATGTTATGATTCAAAAAGTATGTTTTATTTTGTTTTCTAGAAGGCTGGGAAGAATGGTACCAGAAAAATCAAGATGAGCTTGAAAGTGTGGAGAGAAGCTATACTTGTAATATGTTTGGGAAACTTCATCTGAGCAAAACTCATGTTTCTTCAAGACAAAGACTCCATAAGTATAACACACATGGGAAAAGTTTGACACAAAACTCAGGTTCAAGCAGAAGTTATATAAGAAGGAATCTTGATAAATTTCATGGTTATGAGGAATCATATTTTCTTAAGCATCAAAGAGCTCATAGCATAGAGAAAAACTGTGTGTGTAGTGAATGTGGGAAAGCTTTTCGTTGTAAATCACAGCTCATTGTACATCTTAGAATTCATACAGGAGAGAGACCTTATGAATGCACTAAATGTGAAAGAGCCTTCAGTGCCAAGTCAAACCTTAATGCTCATCAGAGAGTTCATACAGGAGAAAAACCCTACTCATGTACGGAATGTGGGAAAGTCTTCTCTTTCAGGTCACAGCTCATTGTCCATCAGGAAATTCACACAGGAGGGAAGCCCTATGGTTGTAGTGAATGTGGGAAAGCCTACAGTTGGAAATCACAGCTTATTTTACACCAGAGAAGTCATACAGGAGTGAAACCCTATGAATGTAGTGAATGTGGGAAAGCCTTTAGTTTGAAGTCACCATTTGTTGTACACCAGAGAACTCATACAGGAGTGAAACCCCATAAATGTAATGAATGCGGAAAAGCCTTTAGGAGCAAGTCCTACCTCCTCGTTCACATCAGAATGCATACAGGAGAGAAACCCTATCAATGCAGTGATTGTGGGAAAGCTTTCAATATGAAGACACAGCTCATTGTACATCAGGGAGTTCACACAGGAAATAATCCTTATCAATGCAGTGAATGTGGGAAAGCCTTTGGTAGGAAGGAACAGCTCAGTGCACATCTGAGAGCTCACGCAGGAGAGAAGCCCTATGGGTGCGGTGAGTGTGGGAAGGCTTTCAGCAGCAAGTCATACCTCGTTATACACAGGAGAACACACACAGGAGAGAGACCCTATGAATGCAGCTTGTGTGAGAGAGCCTTTTGTGGGAAATCACAGCTCATCATACATCAGAGAACTCACTCAACAGAGAAGCCCTATGAATGCAATGAGTGTGAAAAGGCCTATCCGAGGAAGGCATCACTTCAGATACACCAGAAAACTCATTCAGGAGAGAAACCTTTTAAATGCAGTGAGTGTGGGAAAGCCTTCACCCAGAAGTCGTCTCTCAGTGAACATCAGAGGGTTCATACAGGAGAAAAACCATGGAAATGCTCTGAGTGTGGGAAATCCTTCTGTTGGAACTCAGGGCTTCGTATACATCGGAAAACTCACAAGTGAGAAGTTAGAATGATGAAGTAAACTTTAGAAGCCTCTCAGACATTGATGCTCAGGAGACTTCAAATGATAATAAAGGCAGGATTTATAAGCAGGAGGCCCTAAAAATACACTTGTGTCAAATAAGTCATATAGGAGAAAGAGAAATCATATTTGGAATGAGTATGCAAAAGCCTTCAGAAATAAGTCATATAAATTTTTTTAGATGAGAGAATAATTGAAGGAATGAGTAGCAGTAAATGTACCAAATGTTGTAGTGGCATCATTATGCAGATTTGGAGAATTCATACTGAGAACATCTTACAAGTTTAATAAATCAGGAAAGCATTTTCCATAGAAAGTGGAAAGTAACATTCCAGACTTGAAGCTATGTTTTGATAAAATAAAGTCAAGAAAATCTCAACTATAAGTAGTAGACTTTTAATGGTTGAGTGTAAAGTTTCTTGTTTTTTTTTTAATATGTAAATAAAGTAATGGTCAGAAAAACCACAAGGAACATATTCTGAAAGTTAAGGAATCTTTAGTAAGGCTCCTGAGTTAACACTGAATAGCATTTTTTTAAATTTTGGTATTTTATTTTTTAATGTAATTTGTTTTATATATATATATTTGATAGTTTGCGGAATAACATCCTCCAGCATTCTCCGTATTAAATGCTAAATATCAGCATTGTCTCTTTATTTCTTAGCAATATAACTAAAATAATGTGGCTTATAATATATGAAAGGATACAGTTCTCACTCCAAGTAAGTTTACTTATTCACTAGTCTCCATAGGCAAGTCAGGGCATTGTTACAGTGCTACTTCTTGAGAGAATGCAATATAATGAACATTTATATTTTAGCAGTTCAGTGTCTGTTCTCTGTTGATGGATATGAGCACCCTTGTTTTCTCTGGATTATGCTTCCTTGTGGAAGTGTCTTCTAGGCTGTCCTTTCCATGCCTCTAGTGAGCATTGTACCCATTGCTGGAAAATGGTACTCTCTTTTCCAGGATTTTGAGTCCGTAATTCAGTCTCATGAACCAGAAAGGAAATGTAGGAACTCATTTATTCTTGTCCCAGAATGCTATTGATACCATCAAATAGTTCTGCTAAGTTGATTCCCAGAATAATTTTGGATACTATCCCTTTTTGAACCTGGTTCTCTGGCCTGTGTGATTCCTCATATCTTTTCACTAAAAAAGTTTTTATTCCTTAAGAGGAATGAGTTTCTATTTCTTATCATGTAAGGGCTTTAATTGATAAATTGTTGCCCTGGAGTAGTTTTTAGGAAACAAACTGTTAGAGAAAAGTGGGATATGTGGTTTAGGTTTTTTCCTGAGATACAAAATCAGATTTCTTTTATATTCCAAAATAGGAACTTTTTAGCCCATCATATGAAATAGTCCTGTTGTTTGTGTATACCTAGAACCTTGTGACTCTGATGGTAAGATTCTGGGAACACTGAGGAACTATTGCCATGGGAGAATTTTAAATTTATGAAGAAATCTGGGACAGGAGATGAGATGGTTACTTTTTATCATACTAGGTTTTTTTTTTTTTTAAAAGATGACCGGTAAGGGGATCTTAACCCTTGACTTGGTGTTGTCAGCACCACGCTCAGCCAGTGAGCGAACCGGCCATCCCTATATAGGATCCGAACCCGTGGCCTTGGTGTTATCAGCACCACTCTCTCCCGAGTGAGCCACGGGCCGGCCCTATCATACTAGGTTTTATATCACAAGAATAAGAGGCTTGAATCCCTGAAACCTCATCTCAAGGCTGAGTGTCAGATTCAGCAACTTTCTGTGGCATTGCTGAAATAATTACTTACTTGTAGCTGTAGGGTTGAGATGGTGGAAATCTAGTAGTATATTTGGCTTGCTGAATTAGAAAGTCAGTCCACCTCAAATGCTCACTAAATCACTTATGTAAACGTGCATTGAAAAAGTTGGCCCTGGGCCGGCCCGGTGGCGCACTGCTACAGTGCGCCGCTTGGGAGCGCAGAGGCGCTCCCGCCGAGGGTTTGGATCCCACATACAGACCGGTTCCCGCTCACTGGCTGAGCGAGGTGCGGGCGCGACGCCGAGGGTTGCGATCCAGTTGCAGGTCCCAGTCCGGTGCGGGCGTGACACTGAGGGTTGCAATCCGTTGCCGGACACGAAAAAAGACAAAAAGGAAAAAAAAAAAAAAAGAAAAAGTTGGCCCTTGATCATTTGAATAGGAGTATCTGGGAGGAACCTGAGGACTCAGCCTTGCATACTCTTCTGATATACTTTGCACTTTATGTTCTTTATTTAAGGATATAGAATAGATGTTGGCAGTATATGAAGTTCAAATTTCATTGTGAATAAGTCAAGTTTTGTTGAAACATAGCCAGATGTATGTGTGTTATCTGACTGCTTCTGCACTACAGTGGCAGAGTTGAGTATTGCCACATAGCCCACAAAACCTGCTGACATAGAGCCCCCTTCCCTTTTCTGGAGAAAGTGGACTATGCCTTGCAGGAGGAAGCTTTTTTTTTTTTTTTTAAAAGATGACCGGTTCTTTTTCGTGACCGGTAACGGGATTGCAACCCTTGGTGTCGCGCCCGTACCGCGACCGGCAACGGGATCGCAACCCTCGGTGTCACGCCCGCACTGCGCTCAGCAGACCGGTCTCTATATGGGATCCAAACCCTCGGCGGGAGCGCCGCCG